TTATTTCATGCCCATATTTATAAAAGAAAATTAAATTGAAAATCATAGCATTTTATTTTATGTTTTGATGAAGTCTTATATGATATTTTTATTGATGCCTTAATAATCAATTTTAATTATGAAATTAAATTAAATAAATTTCATTTAGCAAACAATCAATTTGAGCTTATTAAATAAAATATTCGTATCATAGTGAGCATAATGGATCAATGGCATTGGCTTAGAGCAAGAAAAGAAAAAGCTAAAACATGAGGATACTTGTGCAAAGATTCCTCCACACCTCTGAAATTATTAGAAACAGGTGAAAGCATTGTAACGGGCCACGGCCCACCGTTAAATATTTTATTTCAATTCACTTCATAAAATAATTGATATAGCGACTTTTCGAAATAAGGCGATATATATGGAGAGTGCCCGAAAATGTGGTTCAATCTGAACTGTTTCAAGCAGATCGGTGTACTGAATATCATCGAAATATATCAAAAATCCCATCCTCTAGTTGAATTCTAGTGTAATTCAAGACGAACAGACAATCAGATCCGTTGGTATCATAAAAGGTCATATATGCGTCTACCGCAAGTAGTGTAGCATATACAAACCAACTTGATTATACTTTATACCATATATGGCACAAGGTATATTAAATTATGCAGACCCAGAAGAATTTGAGATATACTCACTTTTTATTATAAGGATCAATTCAGGGAATCTGAAATGTTCTGAAACAATCTAATCTGGCTTCCCCGTTGTCCGCCTTATGTATGTCCGCTTATTCTTATTTTCAACATACAAATCACAATTTTTGAGATATTTTTATGAAATTTGATGTACTGACGTGTTTTGGATCGTGGAAAAACGGGTTCAGGTTAGACCACTTTATCGACCCCTCTCCATACAGCGCTTTATTTTGACAAGTCGTTGTATGGAAAAATAATATCATTTTTACAATTTCGCAATAAAAATCGATTAATAATAGTACTTCGGCAATGTAAATTGGAGTGAGACTTTGGAGCAGATGGGGAAATTTTTTAACTGTTTACCCCAAGGGCTAATCTTCAACACTTTTTGATGAACCATCGTTGATACTGATAATTTACATAAAAAATTACCGAAGTCGAACCACATAAGTCTATTTTTTAGATCGCACCATATATAGTGGCAAACCATTCTATGGCAACAAACTCTAATTTGTGGTTTGTTATGAGGGGAAGAACTTGCAGATAGTTAAATATTTGACAAGTAAGTTAAGTTTACTAAATTTAGACCACGTTAATAGTTAACTATCTTCCAATACGAGGGTTCCCATGAAAATTGTACGTGTGCATAAACATAATTAACAATTTTTGATGCATTATTAAGAAAATGAAAGAAAGTGAGTGTAGGGTATTGAATAGTCGACCTTGCCCGACTATAGCATTTTTACTTGTTCAAGAAGAAGTGTTGAGCGAAGTGCAAAGGTTTTAGTACTAGTCCATTTATTATCGGCCTGAGTAGCCAAACAGGTAAGAATGGCGACTCTCAAGCGCCGTAGAGTTTTCTTTAGCCGCAGCTATATATTTAGCTCAGTCGATAAAGGCATCACACTTGCCGATTGGGTACACACTCAATAAATTGCGGTCTTTCTCACAATCACCATGTTATACGGATAGGCGGCATGAATGATCGGTCATATTGCGAAGTAAGCAGTAACTTATAATGGACTTACATTGGGTCTCCACAATTATTTTCCAGATAAGTAGCCATGACGATTGTGCTTGTAGGACTAATTTGGAGCAGGGTTACGCCATTTTATAAAAGTACCCATTTCTCTTATAATCTTTTGCGTTTTCTTATAGAGCATTTCAAATAAAACTGGAACTTTAATAATACATAAGCAAAAAAATAATTTTTTTCCTTTTTTTGTCCAACGCACTAAACAATTATCGCTTTATTGAAATTATAAAATCTCATTTCTTCTAAACTCGACACATTTTCAAAATGGTGTGGATGGAATGGGAGGAAAAAAAAAACATTAACCTAAAGACTAAATAAATTTGAAATCAGAAAAAAAGAAGTTTTAAGCTTTCACGATTAATTTATCTATTCATCAGCTTTGCGAAAAAATTGAAAAGGAAAATAAAAATTCTTTTTTCATTCATTCTCGCCTTTTGCAGGAAGCATACCTGATGAATAGACTGAATAGATTGGGTAAATTTTTTGCCTTTTATATCCAACGCCAAAGGATGGAGAGTATATTCATTTCAACAAAGCGTTTGCAATATCCAGAGAGAAACTTCAAAGACCCCGCAAAGTATAGGTATATGTATCCCTAACTAGTATAAAATTCTGAATCAACTTAAACCCATCTGTCAATGTCTGTGTAATGTGTGTAGCAAAAATTCTGAAGCTATCGATCAAGTGACACGCCTACAATATAACATGCATAGAGAATACCAGTGTTTTCTAAGTTTTTTGGTCATTACTAACAAAAAACGAAAGACATACGGCACACATTTCCACACATATTCTGCAAAAATTGGAAAACTCAGCGACGCCTACCCAATATTATTGCACATGGAAATCCAGTTTTTTCTTCTTGGTCGTCTTTAGAATAAATGTGGTAGGTAGGTGGGTATAAAAAACTCGGAATTAAATTGAAATTTTATCTGATTAAATCTTTTTTATGACCACTCCCCTAGTGGGAGCATATTTTGAGGCAATTGCTATTTTAAAAAAATATTGCAAGCTTTATTATTTCTTTACGAATGTTGAACTGTAATATTTTGTAAATTTATTTAATCTAATATGAATGAGATCGGGCCATTCTTTGAACACCTCCCATAAAAAAAAGTTACGAAAAATTGTCTGCCGCATTGTAAAGTGATCGTAAATTTTCATATTTGACTGAATTCTTAATTTTAGACTATAATGATGTAGGATAAACGGTTGCCTATCTTACCCGACTATAACGTTTTAGTTTTTGTAGGCAAATTTAAATAGATACAAAAGTACTTAAATATTCACGGCTCTCTGCGCTTCAAACAAATAGCTTAGTTGTTTTCCTCAGATCATTTTCCGCAACCTTTTTGAATATTATCTCAATTTTAGACTTCAGTTCAAAAAGAAGCTGCCACTAAATCTCAGGGCTGCCTTGATTCGGAGGAGCATCCAAGTCTAATCGACATTTAGCTTGAGCAACTTTCTTTCACTTTTAGTACTACAACAGCAACTGCGGCGCCTATTCACTTAGAATCACAAAAACTCCAAAGGAGGTCAATAGAAATTTCTGATGTTTCGCTTGAATCGTTTTTTCCTGCAGGGACTGTACATACATACACTTGTCGCTCAGTCTATATACTTCTATTGCATCCGATTCCCTTTCTGAAATAGATTGCCAGAAAAAAGTCGCCAACTTCTACTCCATCAAAATGCTTTAAATCAGTTCTGTGACACTTACATAATTAACAGTAGACATACGGAAATTTGACTGATAAATTCTGCCAGTCGTCACAGTCGTAAATCGATTAATATAAAATTAAAAAAATGGACGCGTTCCATTCACGGACAGGCCCACAATGCAGAAGAAACCAAACCAGCTTCGAAAAATGCGGTCGCAGTGTGTTCCAGAAAAAAAAGATAGACATACAGATTTGCTGCATTACATATTTCATCTTTACATAACATGTAGAGACATCAATTCCCTTATGTTGAATTATTGAAACTAAATTCTCGTCGGTTATGAAAAGAAAATATTATATAGTTTTCTTCATTCTCCTCTGCCCCTAGAAGCTCTTACTCTATAGAGCATAGTTTGATCGATGTTTTGAAACCTGCATAGTGACTGAGAGTCAATTCAATCATAGGTTAAAGCGAAAAAATTATATTTAAATATCAGGGCGCGAACAAGCATTAGCAGGCTACAAGAGACGCACGAGTGGACTTTTTATAGCCTACATCACTTTTGCTTCAGGGTATATTAAGCTTGTGTGGATATGTGTTACACGCAGAAAGGCTCAAGAGAGACTCACCATTTATTATACGGATCGATTCAGAATCATTTTCTGCTTGTATTCAACCTATAGGTAGCATTTTGATGAAATTTGGTACACTGACGTGCTTGGACCTAAGGAAAAACGCGATTTATAATGATTTAGATAATTTGACATAAAAATTAATTGAACCAAAATTCAACCATATCGATCCATTTTGAAGATCCTAACATATATAGGGGTTATCATGAAAAGCAAGCCCTCATATGGAGAGAAAGTCTAATCCCTAGTTTTTTATGATGGAAATTGAAAAATAATAAAATTTCTGCTAAGTTTGGATCACGTTATGCGATAGATTGGGCAATCTCCAATATGGGGACACGCATTAATATAATATATAATTTTTTTTGGTGTGTTATCACTAGAACAACTGAATAACCATACCAGACGAATTGATGTATATCTGACGATATGTTCTTACTTACTATTACTAGAGAAGAAATAGGAATAAGTAATTTTAAGTTTCTTTGTTTACAATAAGTGGCTATGACGAATAAATAAATGAATAAATATAAATAAATAAATTGTCTTTAAAAAGTTTTCCTTTTTATAAAATGACAAACAAAAGTATCTTAATTAGGTGCAAATGTAAAGGAAATTGGAAATGAAACACCAAGTCCAATTATTGTTTTGAGAGAGAACTATTTGCAAACTGTTCGAATCGAACACTCAATTATAACATAACAATTAATGGCCTTTTTGTTTGAATGGATTGAACTGAAATATTGCTATGAGACATCAATGGAAATCGATTAGAAGCATGTATATGCATACATGCATACATGCATGCATGCGTGTGTATGTTTTAGTCTCTTTGAAAGGGCAAATTTTCAAATAAGCAAGGAAAACAATTCCCAAAACATGATAAACAACATGTTGTTTTCCTGTATACAGACAATACTTATACTGGTACGTACATGCATTGCTTAGAGAAAATGAATAAACAAATATACACTTAAATGCAATATTTACCATTTTCGATGGTTTCCTTAGCACAGGATATTATTTTGCCTTTACGACGTCGCAAATTCGATTCAAAATTGTTATCATCGGTGAAGTCGCCATCACCCTCTATAGCAGCATCGTCAGCTGTGGTTGTAGACTCTTGTACATCTTCCGATGATTGTCGTTCTGAAGACATTTCGCCACTGTTCTGTTGCAATAAGTTTTCAATACTTTTATTCATATTAACACACTAATACAACCATATAACTTCAACAATGTTGCACTCTCAGCACATGTATTACAAAATATATTAACGGTTTTCGTAGATATGCACACTATAGAATTTTATTGACTGAATCTATTTCAATTTTAATGCAGATACAAATGCATTGCAAACCGTTATCCATTAAACTCTTGTCTTTTCATTTATTTGAATTTTTCTTTTCTTTTTTTTTTTTTTTTTTTAAATAAATAATATGCTTTTAATACATAAACCAGTTAAAAACTTCCTAAAAGTTGAATTGAATTTTGTTAAAAATTGCTTTATATTTTTTTTTACTTTATAGTCTCGAGGTAGAAAGAAGTGTAGAAAGAGGGCTAACCCCATCCTCTAATAATATAACAAAATCTATTTAGTCCTTTCCTTTTGTTCTTCCGTCTGTTTGTTGAAACTGCATGCGATATGAGAATATGCCTAAATATCAAAACGGGACGAATTTGTTTAAGCCTCGCTCCCTATAGTAAGAACATTTTGATCACAATATAACATGAACTGATTGATTCCGCCATGTATAGTCTCAAGCGCGCCTTTCTTACTGCACGAACTCGTCTCAAGCTTTATGATTATCATTACCGGTCCTAACTTGCACTGGCATTGTTGCAAAATTTGGTCTGATATCACCAATGGAAAAAGACTCCGAAGAATTGTTAGTTTTGACTGACAGCTATAAAAAGAGTCCTCCACAGATCTTCGTAGAAGTTGAAAGGTGATCTACTCCAAAATGGCAAAATTTATTCGGACATATAGTAGCACTGCAGCAGAGCATCTAATCTAAAGGTCACGATGTTGGATGGTCATGACAGCCAGGCATGCCTTGGATTGGAAACGAAAATATAATGAAAATCGTTTTTACGACATGTATACACATGAGGTTGAAATTTAAACATTTGTTTATGTAATTTAGCTGCAGCTTATTGTTACATGTGAAATATCACATGAGTACCGTCTTATTTATAGGTTATTCTTCGACAGTTGGAGAAATATTTTTTTGAACCCCCTTAGTGGATTAAACCAAAAATTTCACCTTCTTGGTAGTATTAAGCGAGTCCGCCGACCGATTTAGCTACAATTTACGAACTTACTTAGTAAATGAGATAAGAAAAAATTGGAAGTGAAGTTTGTTGTTCTAAAGAAACGTTTAAGTTCGCAATTGCGAGCGTATAGTTACAGAGAGATACGGCCAAACGAATTACTCTATTCGGTGATTATGAACGCGTACAGCTTATGGACTCCCTGATACGTATTTCGAGAAACTATGTCGCTCGAGTTTATTAAAATATATTCCGGTTCGTAAAGCATAAAATTTCTTTCTGCAAGTGTTTAAACTAAACACATTTTTCACCTGCATATCGATATTGACGCTGAAAGTGATCACAATCGACAGATGCTCATGTCCATAAATGATCAGAAAGCTTCTTAAACACAATTTTCTAAATTTTTTTTCTTGCCGTCTTCTTACTGACTTGTAATAAATATGCAAAATCGTCTCTTTATCCACAAATATATTAACAAATAAATGTAAAATCTTTGAGAAACTATCTACCATCCCATCCAGATTAACAATGATTTAAAATTACTTTTCAATAAAGGCCAGCACAAGAGAAAACGAAAAATAATAGAAAAAAAGCGAAATAGCAGCACCGTTACAATGACATTTAAAACGGGGTAAAAATGGGTCGTTGTACTAGAAAATATGAATTATTCGTAACACTGCTTGAAGCGTACTAGCAATAATAACAATCACAGCAGCAGCAAGCGAAACAAAAGACTAACAACAATGTTAAGTATCACTTGCTCCCACTACACTTGCTACTGCTGCTGCTACTATTTAGTGCATAAAAACAATAGCAACAAAAAGGAAAAAAAAAAAAAAACATAAGAGAAGGAATGACGTATGGTGGAAACGCTACTAACACATGAAATAATGGTGAAATTTCCGGATAATGGTCTTTACACAGTAGAAAGTAGAAAACAAGTAAGTACGGCGGGGTGTAACAACATAGAGTGAACGTATGCAAGGTGTGGTGAATAATAAACTTTTTATTTAAAGATAATTGCAATATACGTAACACTAAAAGTACTTCTGATGTTTATTTTTTTTTTCTTTAAAAAAAATTTTTTTAAAAGTCTTTTGTTTTTTTTTTTCTCTTTATTAAATCTTGTATTCAAAGCTGGATTCGTTTAAGAGTTCTAGCCATGACTTGTATGTGAATTTCCTTTCTCTTCAAAATGTAAAAGGAAAAGGAAAGGTTATTTCATAACACTTGCAAAGGTTTTTTGTAGCACATTAAACAAAAAAAAAAATAAATAAATAAAAAAAAATAAATTAAAAATACGGTTGCTATGGTATTTATAATTTTTAAATTCTAATTTGAAAACTGCGTTCGTTTAAAGTCTTTTTATTTTTCATATTATTTTGAATTGATTTCAATACAATTTCTTTATTTCTTCCTGTTATTTTTTTTTTTTTTTAATTTTTTTTATTTATATTTTCACTATCATTGTAAAAGGATGAAAAACTTTCATTTTTATCTCCGAACAACCGTTTACTAAAAGTTACCGTTAAAGACTAACACCAACAAATGCAATTTCTTTACATGAGGGTGTTTTTTTTTTCTTTCCTTTCTCGCTTTAATAACATTTCTAATTTATGTCGTGGAGAGTTACTGTTCTGTTGGTCTATCGATTTTTATTTTACTTATTTTCAGTTTTTGTTGTGTTCCCTTCTTTATCTTTTACTATGTTCTTTATATACAAATCTCAATTTATAGGCCATCGCGCTACAAATGAAAGAAAAAAAAAAAAAAAAATGCCGGTTGCATGATTTGTTTTTATCCTGTATCCGTTAAATCATCTGTTAACTTTTAAGCCTATTGAAAATATGGCAATTGTGAGGAGGCTAACTTAGTCTGGATTACAACCCATTCGAAAAAAAAAAGAACATAAAAAATAATTCAAGGAAACATTCAAAAACCGCTAAGCTTTTTATGCTCTTACCATCTTACTAAAAATTATACTAAAATCATTCATTCTTTTGTATGCTTTCGAAGTACTCATCGGAGATCGCATTAAACATATTTATTTTTCATATATTCCGCTTAAGTATGCCTTTGATGTGCTCAGTAAAGCCTTTTAGTCGCTCAACGTTGGAGGAAGAGCTTTACTCATAGTGCAATTTAACTTTGAATTCCCCAACATAACCAAGAGGAGGACCAAGTGAAAATTATCGCTAAGCTCACGAGTAAAGGAGCGCGATCCAAGCTTAGATTAAATTCATAGATTGGAGATGCCTTTCTTTTTCAGGCAAACTATAGAATAAATTAAATAAAATTGATTTTGTTCTACATATGGTTGTTTTGATTTGGGCGTTATATTAAAACTTATACCGATCTTAATATAAATAATTAAAATACGGACCAACTTCAACAATGCAACCTACATAGATACATACATAAGAATTGATAAGATCACAATCCGTATATGAAATTGTGCAAACCTACCGCACTTGGCATGGTCTAACGGTGATCAGCTTATTTTTGACATATATATGTGACACATTGAATGTATGTACGCTAGCTATAAGACCTTTAAAATAAATTGATTTGCACGCAGCATCAGATTAGTGTTAAAATCTATCATTGCCTGTGTCAAAAAGCTTTTGAAAAATGTACGATTAGTTCACATCTTCTTGCAATATCTGTGTAAACGCACAACACAAAGTATTCTTCTAGGAATTCAACGATTTCGAGATTTTAATCATTTTCTTTCGAATGCCAATATCATTTATACATACATTCACCATCAATGGTGCGGAGTAATAAATTTATCTTTTCGTTTCTTTCACAAAATAATTGTTAAATTGAGGAATGGAGACAATTTACATACCAGCCACCTAGCGAAGCTATTCCTTAAAACTCGTAACACCAATGCAATCTGTTTGTTGGTTGAATGATCATGAAACCGAAAGACAAACGCTTTCTCCCTTCATGATGTGTATACGATTGTTAGGTGTTTGCAGTGTTGGCTTTGACAGTCCTCTACAAAAGTATGAAATAAAATTTCATTTAAGATTACTGATTTATTTAGAGTACGCCTACGCTGATCATCGAACACCCAAAATCCTTCTTCTTCCAAATTCATTACTTTTGTTATTGATTTGAAGAAATCTGCTTCCGAAACCCACGAAATACGTTCACAGGCTTATGATGGTGCTGCTCAATCAAGTACCAATTGCCGGCTTTGATTTCAACGGTTTAAAACTGGCGACAAGAATTGATCGAAAATGCCATTATTTTGGCACTCGTTGCAAGAGTAGTTAGTTGTTCATCATCATCAGAGTACTCATCAGACATGACTGATTACCGTCTGTTCAGATCGGTGCGGCAGGCTTGGCTGGCACGCGGATCCATAAAGTTTAGGTAGTGCGAAAATGGGTCGGTAGATGGATCGCTGCCAAAGCAGTACCGATTCCTTCAACATGATGTCATCATAAGTATTGCAAAATGTTGCAGAAAACGATGGAAACCATTTTGATTAATACATATTCCACCAATTTTCAAAGAGAAAGTGACGCAACACTTTTGCAAACACCTAATATTACCCTGCGCGAGGCGTTCATATTGCATTTACTTTTATCTAACGGATGTGCAAGATGTGCACCTATTCATATTTAAAAAAAAAAAGCGTTAAACCTAATTTTGTAAAAATGTACGAGGACGTGCTTGCGATGAATTTATTATATCGACAATAATAAATAAAAAAATTTTAAATTCAAATTTAAACTTTTTTATAATGTAGCAGTAATTCAGAAAAAAATGAAAGTCATTTAATACAAAGCTGAAGACATATATTGTAATATTAGTAAAGAACAACTAAGGAAAATCAATTTCAGCCTTCGTCTTTCCTAAAAGCAGGTAGTATTAAATTGTAAGCGAAGACCAATCACTAAAATCTTGGCTTAATTCCAGTCTTGGTCTTCTTCAAAAGCATCGGGACCGGCAGAAGTTATAAAATGATCATAGCTCTAATTAAAAAAAAGGGGTGCATGTTAAAAATTTATGTATTTACAAAACTCTTAATAAATCAATTCACCTGAGCAATATCTTTTCGCACATCACGGCCACCGAAACGCCCATCCCGATTATCACGGCCACCACCGCAACTATATTTCTTTAAGAACTGCGGCACTTCTTGACCAGCACCTTCTAGAATTTTTACCAATTCGCCAGCAATAGCCGAGTCCTGCTGGGGATCAAAGAAACTACTTGCTTTGCCATTATTTCCCACGCGACCAGTGCGTCCGATACGATGAACGTATTCATCAATTGACGATGGCATATCGTAATTAACTACGTGTCTAATATTTTTGATATCAAGACCACGAGCAGCTACCGAGGTCGCAATTAGCACTTTCATTCTTCCTGCTTTAAAGTCTACCAAAGCAGTTTCGCGTTGCCGTTGCAAACGGTCGCCGTGAATCGAAGTAGTCGGATATACTGTGTCTGACAAAAAAGATGCTAAAAAGTCGGCACCTCGCTTGGTTTCCACAAAGACAATCGTGCCGCTCGCGTCCTTCTTTAAAAGTTCCTGTTTCGAAAAATTCGCCAAATAGCAATTAAAAATCTTCAACATTTCATATCGCAACGGTTACTTGCCATGAGTTTGGCTCTCTTTTGGATTTTTTCGACCTCATACACATTCTGAGTGACATCGGAACAAGCACCACCTACTGCGCCTATAGCTACAAATATATATTCATCCAAATATTCTCCGGCCATTCGCTGTATCTCCTCCGGAAACGTGGCAGAGAACATCAGATTCTGCCGTTCCGAGACGCTTCGCATAGTTGCGTGATTCATTATCGTAGCTACAGCGTCTTTGAAGCCCATGTCTAACATTCGATCGGCTCATCGAGGACCACGAAACGTATATCCTCAAATGTAATAAAACATTTTTCTACAAAATCCATTAAACGGCCCGGAGTGGAAATTAATATGTGGCATGGACCCTTGCCCATATTTTCACTTTGATACTTGGACGAAGTACCCCCGTAAACGATACGTATATTTAAATACGAACCTAAGGCAAATTTACGTGCCTCATTGAATATCTGGATAGCTAATTCGCGTGTAGGCGACACAACCAAAGCGTGTGGCCTACCAATCGATGCTTCAGCATTATCATTCAGTAACTGATTGATAATGGGTATAAGAAAAGCCGCGGTTTTGCCGGATCCAGTCTGCGCACAAGCCATCAGATCCCGCCCACTTCCTACTACTGGTATAGCAGTCTTTTGAATGGGCGTAGGTACTTTATAACCGGACCGTTTTATATTTTTTAAAACAATATCTCGAAGGCCAGCATCTTCAAATGTTTGAATGGCAGGGGGAGGATTCTGACCATTTACCTAAAATGGATATGAAAACTGGAACTGTTACGCAAATTGTATTTTTACCTTTTTTATGTATGTAAAAGTCTTACCTTAACGGGAATGCTTTCATATTTAGAAAAATTTATGCCAGAGCTTATACCACTACCAAATATTTCATCTTCATTATCGGTTGGTTCGGGCGGTATGTAGAATTCGCGAACTTTCTGTGGCTCATCTGCACCACCATTTTGATCATCGTCGTTTCTATTACGTTTGTATTCATCTCTACCATTATTGTAGTCACGTCTACCGCCTGCGCCCCCACCACGACCGCGCGGATTAAAACCGCCTCGTTTTCTATCATTTCCTCCATCATCATCGTTGTGGAACCCTAAATTTTTTTTGCAGTAAAAATTGGTAGGAGTTGGAGATGAATAAACTAAGCTTAAGCTTAGGCAAGAAATTTCCTTTGAATTCTTGAATTTATTTCTTAAAAGAACACATAACCACACATATTAACAAAGAAAAAGCTTTTAAAAACGGAAACAAAGCAAATATAAAACAGCAAACATAAATGGCATCCACAAGTACTACTCTAGACGTTAAATTTTTAATAAACTCTTAAATAAAAAATTATGAAAATTAGATTAAATGTATTATGCGGCCGTTAGCGGCCAAGTTAATTAGACCGACTGCCTTCAGTTCCAAAACAAAAGCAAAACCAATGGCTGCTGCCATTTTATCGGTTATGCAATCAAGTTTAGTAAAATCAAATGATCTGTTACAAATAAGAGCTCGTATGATATCGCGTTTAACCGACAATCGTCTTTTACAAGCGTTCAATACCAGTTCAGCATCATAATGCATTACGGATTTCTGTATATCCACGCCTCGCTGACATCGACGATAACTGTCGAATATGGCACGTACTATATCCAAATTGTTCATAACTATTGAAATATTCTCATAATTTTCCTTGATGAACTGATCGTATTGTTGTTGGGCAGTATTCAATTGAGGTACCAAATCATCGCCAATCGCAAGCAAATCATTCCTCTCACGGTTTGCGCTCAACTCGAGTGATTGGTTTAGCGGCGGAAGAACATCTTGTCCCGGTAATGGTAATATGTCCGTTAAAATATGCTGAGGACCTTGAGAAGGCCTTATCACATTTTCAGAAACTTGTGCAGGAGCTACACGGGCTCTCTTCCTTTTCCTCTTTTTTGCACGATATATAGTTGGTACTTGCTCGTAGCCCACTCCTTCAGTTCTGGTTCTTAAAATTTCGTACCAATCTTTACGATAATCCCCCGGCCATAAAGGTTGTAAATTATCTAATTGTTCCGGACGCGGTTGCACCACTCTTTCTATAGATTCTAAATTTTGCTCATGAGCTTGAGTTTCTCCAGTAGCACTTACGATTTCCTCGGGCGTTTTATTCGACTGACAGAGCTGTTCTTCTGCTTCCTCTAATGAATTTAATTCAGTTAAGGTGGTATGACGACGCTTAGAAAGGCATTCTTCATCTAATACTCCAAGTGGAGTAGAGACCGCCGGCCTGTCTACATTACGGTTCAGCAAACCCTTATAAAATCGCCTTTCTCCTGATGAAGTCTGAGCTGGAAGTGTTGTCGATGTCAGGCCTGGAGTAATACTAATAATTCCGTCGGATTGATCAACGTTACTTTGCGAAGACATTATCTGAGGCGGGACAATTATCGATTCCACTTGCAATTGAGATCCCAAAACTGACGCCGTTTTCGAAGGATAATATCTACGAAATTAAAATTTTTAAGACAACTTTGGTTTCGATCTCAAACCACGAGTTTAATTGAGATTTTCGTTGCATGAAAACTTATCTGAAAAGTTACAACAAAATCGTAGAATGAATGAAATTAAATGACAGACACCTAATCTCCCTAATCAAGTAATTATCCTTTTTGCTCTTTTTTTGCTTTCGCAGGCTCAAGGGATGTCCGCATAAAGACACTGGGCTGGTCCACAAGGAATATATGTGGAGGAGAACGAAAAGGCGAACCGTGCGTGAAAATTGGAAACATCACGAAAAAGGGCAAGACTAGCAGAGGGTTGTCCAAAAGCGCAGTGCGCAAAAAAATGTTGAGCTCTTTACTGCACGCGGCCAAGCGTCTCTGGTAAGAATTGGAAGATCTTGTCCGTACTTACCTTAAATCGTTTACTACACTACATAACAATTCCCTTGATTTTGTTGCAACAAATTAAACTCGCTTTATGAGAAAACTCGGCATGAAGTCTTATTTCATTCGTAAACCTATAACCATACCTCGCTGCTTCGTTCATTGAGGAGCTGCTATCAATATTTTGCATCTGTTCTCCTTGTTCCACAGACGTAAGAATCTGGTGAGAGTCCTTTATTGTCGCCGGTAATTTCAACGAGGAACTGCCAATTAAATGTGGTGAAGGCAACTGTCGCACTATTGGAATCGATGAAGAATCCGTACGTGGTTGAACGACTTCCGATAGTTCAATAGATTGGCGATTGTCGTCGACCACCACTGACTGGTTGAACGCGTCTTCCACGTTAAATTCATTTTCTATTAACCAATCCAAAGATACTCTCGTAGCTATGCTTTTTTTATTATGAGGTCGTAAGCACTTAATTTTCAGAATTTTACGCTTCGGTAGCGGAAAACATAGTCGATATTCTTCCTCATTTATAATACGAGGTCTTCTCCTCGGCCATATTGACCTGTGATCATCACATGGAACAGTTAGTGAAGAAAAAAATCCGCACTGTTGCGTGTCTTCAGGCAAAGCCACATCGTGTTCGCTAATAATGTCCGTTATATTAAGCAAAGGTGGTTCTGCTTTTGGTAAATTAAAAATTCCTTCTTGCTCTTCTTCCTGTATTGTAATCATTTCAGGTGAATCACCTTTTTGTTGATAGATATCGATTATATCGATCGAATCCTCACTCATATTTTCATCTAAAATCCAATTTAGAAATTCTTCTTGTTCTTCCTCAACATTTATAATATTACGTAACATGTGATGTTTTTCCAAATGCGATCTTTTATTTTCGGTGGCTGATTTAGAAAATGTCGGTCGTGCTCGCTTCGCTTCATCTAAATTCATTTCATAAGCTTTTAGTATATAAGAGTACATCAAGTACCTTTGTAAAAGATTGGAGCTTTTTAAAATCTCAGGCAATTTCTCCATGAATTCCAAAACAGTATCGCGTTTAAAATCTTTTGGTATCGAAGCAAAAATTTCATTATGATAATGTTCATTTTCAGTTGTTACGTTACTATGATTAAAATTGTTGTTAAACGCTGTTACAGAACAGGGAGGAGAAGACAGAGAGAAAAACAACTCACACGTATCATTCAAAAGACCCAAAAACGGTATACTTAGTTAGAGACTAATAGTTAGTTAGTAATTATTATCAACAGAACAAGTGATGCATGCAACCACACCAACAACTTTCAATTAGAATAACTAGGGCGCACATATGAAAACTTACCGTTAGAATCAGCTTCCTCCGAATGATGACGGTTAGTAAAACTACGAGACCCATGAGAATCACTTAAGGGACGACCTAGAAAAAAACATACAATATATATATATATATATGCATAGATCTGTCTGAAATAAAGTGAGTTTCAATTAATTTCTACCTCGGCCACGTCCTCGTCCTCCTCTAGAACCACCACCAAAACGGCCAGATTTATTATAAGAATATTGATTATCGTTGTCTTCTTCATTATCCGCATTACGATTAGATCTGAATTTGTCGTTTGTGCCGCCAAAACCTTTTCCAGTTGGCATCTGAAATGAAATCGTGTCCGATAAGACGAATATCAATATAAATAAACGAATATAAATCCTACATCGTTTTCTTTTAGATCGTTAGCAGTTTTCTTCTTTTCTGAATACAATTTCGTATTTTGTACATTTTCTTCTTTTTGCTTAACACGATTTCTCATTTGTCTATAGCGCTCCATTACTTAAGCTTTTCTTTTATTAATTTTTAATTTGCACTCCGCAATTTATGATTTAATTGAAAAGGTGAATTCCCGTTTTTATTTCAAGTAAACGTAGGAAATTCTCTCTCAGTAAAAATTCATGTAAATGCAGAGCAGCATTAATATTCTAATTAAATATCTTTTACCGGTTAGCGTTTAGGTTTTATTTATTGACAGCAACTGTCAAAAAATCAGAATAGTAAATAGAGAAATGAGAAAATGTAAGTAAAAAGCACATGTGATTTTCGAAAAACTCTTCTTCTTTTTATTCATTTTCAATTTGAGCAGCGGAATTCATACTTTTTTTTCTTGTTATTTTTCGAAAACCCGTAAAATATTTTTTTGAAAACTTCTCTTGAGAGTTCCCTCTTCCAATACTGAAATTTCCTTTTCAATTTTAATAATAATACTATAATTGAAATACCGAACTATGTAGAAGTAATTGCATATAATAAGATCCTTTTAGAAACGCCTATCATACCAATAAATTGCCGTCGAGCTATGGTTTCATAGAAAAAGGGACGTCCGTATATTTTCTCCGTTTTGTCCTTCTTTAGGTATACTCGCGTAGACTTACATTACATAAATAACTTATGTGAAAAGAAATGAGTTACTTTTTGTGCATATCATAATGCTAAGTGTGGAAAGAACCGTTCTCCCAAATATACTCTATCTCGACCGAAGCATATATGGAAGAAAAAACTTAATTGCATAAACTACATATTTTTACTTACCTCTGTATCACTCTCATCCCAATCCCACATAACGATAGTTTGCAATCAGGAAATAACTGAAAAAGGCTACACAAAGAAACAAAAGGACGTGTCCGTTTAATTATTGAATATCAAACGAATGAATATTTTATATGTTTTGACAATACTTAGAACTCTGCTTAAGAGGATTTTCAATCCGTAAGATATACAACTCTGTTTTCGAGTTTATATCGTAAACATTTAGTGAACAATACTTAAAATACGCTCCGTCAGAGATACATTTGAATGCTGAGATTGCAGTAAATTTGACAATCCGTTTCGTGCATTCATTCATCTGTTTTTTCTTCTTTGCTCTTATTTCTTTTGTTCCATACTTTTTCCTCGATACATATGTATACTACCATGCTTATTTCTACTATCGCTTGTTGGTTGTTAAGCATAGGTTCTGAGCGAATAACAACGAGAATATCTTGCAACTGAGTGAATAATGTACACATATGTGTGCGTTTATGCGTGTGTACTTGTATGCAGCAGTAGTAGAACGCAATAATTAAGGTTAACATTAAAAATATATATTAAAGCCCAAAAGAAAAATCGTATTGAAAAGCATCGACAGATATTCGTTCGATTGCATTAAAATATTTATACAATAAAAGCTCAGCACAAAGCGCAGATATATAGTGAAATTAAACAATATTATAGAAGGGAAGGAAAAAGTGTTGTGCAGAAAAATTGCATGGTAAAAGGCAAAAAATCTCATAATGGATACATCTGGGAATAATCGTTATGAACTTTTGTTCATGGACGATGACATTAGCGATCCATTAGATAATATTGTCGCTAAAAAGAAGAAGCAAGTCAAATCAACAACCGCTTCGACTGGAACCGTATCCAATCAAAGGACGGCGAACAAACAAATTGCCGAAGGTATCAGCAAGGTCAATAGCAACACCGCCAACACCTCAACCAGTAACTCCAAGAAACTAAATCAGGCAGAAAAAGAAAATAAACCTTTAAATAAGAATGAGGGCCAAAAGAAAAATCCTTCTTGTGCTGGTACCAGTACTGGCACTATGATTGATAAACCGAATAAGCAATCAAATTCAGGCGGTTTTGGAAGCGGCAACAGCACCGTTGCTGGTGGCGGAAGTGCTAACCGAAAACGAAACAACGTTGACGGACGTGAAGGTGGTCAAGCGACCCCACAACAACGCAATGCTAACTTTAGACAACAAAACGGTGAAACACGCGAACAACGCAATAATCGTCGCAATACGAATCGCGAAAATATGTCATCAGCAAATGTTGGCAACAGTATCGGTGCTATGGAAGCTAGCGCCCAAACGCGCCAATTTAAAAGTGGCGATCGTCCACCACGCAATAATCGCAATTTTGAAGGCGGCAATCGTAAACGAGAATTTGATCGTCAATCAGGTTCAGACAAAACCGGTAAGTTAAAAAATTTACGTGCAGCATTAGAGCAACAAAAGCAGGGAAAGTTTTTCATTCTTTTTAACGAATTCCATAGATTTATAAAAAGACACCAGAATATATGTGATAGCGTATAATCAAATTAATTGCATACGCATCACTAAGAAATGTATTCATAAATGTTGATGTTTAAAAATAGTCTACAAATACAACAACAGTTATAAAGAATTTTTAGTTGTGGTCGCGCCTTATAGCCTGATCGGCACAGCGGCAGAGTTGCCGAAACACGGTGATTATGCTGTTCAACGTTGACCTAAAATGAATATAAAAAAATCTGTTGATAACTGTGAAAGACGATGGTCGGAACTCTGAAGCAACATTTTACATTGTTGAATCCTAAAAAAGCTCACAAACTTTTCCCATTTCCTATTAATCACATTGTATCCCCCGCCATCTTAGAACCATGGAAATACCATGTTTTTGAAATGGTTAGAAAAACCGTCGATTGCCAAAACCGTCAAAATAATGAAAAGTCTAATTTCTTATAAGAATAATTCATAACGCCTAAGCCTCTTGTGGGCGCATAGTGTGGAGTAGAGAGAGAAAGAGTGTGGAGAGCGAGTTTCGTCTCCCTCATTAAATGAAATTGTTTAACTTTGATAAATATCAGTAAAGAAGAAGAAAATTTGAAAACTATGAAACCGAGCATCAAGGACAACTTAATGCCTTCTAGTGCAATGGGGATAACGTACAATTTTCCTCTCCTTTTAACGGAAATATTGATATAAAACCAACTCAGATGAAAATTGTTTGAAATCCGCTTTTCTCTTTTGAAAGTCAAATTCTATTGAAAGCGTCATTTACAATTTCAGACTCTTTAGTGGGTTTTTATCGAAAATCTTTCAACTCGTCCGTAGCATCCAGCATCCTTTGAACCCTAAAAGATAAATGAAATCATTACTCAACTCTAAAAAGTGTTTGTGTATATATATGTACATATAATTAAAATTATATATATAAGATATTTAATTGAAAGTTATTACAAAAAGCAAATTTACTTTTGTGTAAATAAAAAAGAATGTTAAGAAAAAACTTTGGTAACACTTATGGAAAACTCCTAACATAAATCTTTACTGTTACTTTTACAATTTTCAAAAATTAATTTTTAATATTTCTGAATACGATCTATAAAAAGGTGTTAAGGCTGTCGACAAACGCGATGGCTCTGGTGCTCACAACTGGGGGTCTGTTAAGGATACCATTGATGAAGTGAATACTAAAAATAATAATAATGAAGACAATGCGAATCTTCCTGCATATACCAGTGGTGGTACTGAAAAGATTGATGAAACCATTAATGAACAACCACAAAGCAATGAGCAAACGAACACCGTGGAGGAAGAAGTAAAAGAATTGACCCTTGATGAATGGAAAGCCCAACAGCAACAAAGAGCTAAACCGCAGTTCAACATACGCAAGGCTGGCGAGGGTAAAGTACAAAGTAATTTATAGAAATTTTTAAATAAAATTTCCAAAAATATTTTAGGCGAGGACACATCACAGTGGAAGAAAATGATTGTTTTGAACAATAATAAGAAAAAGGAGAATGAAAGTGAAGAGGAATTGGAATATGATCCCGCCATGTATCCACAACGTGTAGGACGTCAGCAGCGTATTTTAGACATACAATTCAATTTCAATGATGGTCGTCGCATTGGCAGCGGTTTTGGTGGACGTGGTCGCGGTGGTGGACGCGGTGGTGGCGGTGGTGGAGGGACCAACGCCCCTCGTTCTACTGGCAATAATAATAATGATAGTAAGCCTAGGGCTTCTGGCGGTGGCAGCGCTGGTGGAATATCGGGTACGGGTGCCAATAATTTAGCCGCCGGTGGCGGTGGACGTGGCGGTAAACGCCAGTTTACGTCAGATAAACATCAGCAAAATTTAGCACTCAAAGTCAACGATGAACGTCAATTTCCTACTTTGGCTTAGAAACAAATGCAAATGATTGAAATTAAACAAAAAAAAAAAAAAAACAAAATTCGAAAAGAAAAAGCTAAGTATACTTCACTTTCAATTGAAATAATTACGAGATCAACTTATAATTAAAGCCAAATATTCAATGTGAACGGTCTGTTCAGTTATTTAGAAAAAAATCAAAGTGTGAGTGTTAAAAAAAAAAATTTATTTATTTTTTAATTATTATATTTAGAGTGTTTTTAATACGCCCTCCAAAATACAGCGTAATAAGAATCACAAAGCAGGTACACAACTGCATTAATATTGTAAGAAAACTTGAAAAAAGCTTTTAACAACTCTTTTAACTTTTTTAATAAAGACAAGTTTTCCAAACATATACGAAAAATATAAATCAGAAGAACACGTAAAAATCAATATTTTTAAGAACACATCAACGACTTAATTGCATCAGGTATAAAAAATACGACATAATTTTTGGTTTGATACCAACAAGATGAACGTAATTTAGTCATTCATGGTCATATTTTAAATAATCATGTAACAAATTACTGACTAATTAATGTATAAGTAAATTTGAAAAGGAATAAAATAAATTAACAAATATCTTTCCTTTATCCCACTTTAGAAAAGTGTAAGTTTCAAAATTGTTACTGTGAACACATGGAAAGAAAGCTTTGTTTCTCGCCTTAAAAGAAATGCTATATACCCTTCCATTAGTGAATTATTTTGTTAATTGTGAGCTTACCCCTTGACCCAAAAAATTTCAAATGGTTCGACAAAGATATTCCGTCAAATTTTCGATAAATACCTGTTAAAGGTTCTTGATAAAATCTTATACATGTAAAGGATACATTTCTTTAAGTTGGCTGTTATGTCATTTTAATATTTATTGGAGGGAAGAGGAGGTATACTTTTAAAAATGTAATCTCATGCCGATTTCGAAACGAAAAATTTTTTTAGATCCTGTACTGACATGTTGCAAAGCCATTCTCTTACACGAACTTAGCCAAGTGGTTTATTGCAGCACTAAGAATAGAGAGTGTGTAATACAAGATACATGTACATTTAATCATGTGAGTCGGCCTCCTTTTGAATTTTCAAATTTCTTAAAATTGTCAAAAACTTAACCTTACAAATTCACTGAGGTTATTAACTACTCTATGAACATATATATGTTTTAATATTTTCGTATTTCTTTTACACGCTTGAATCATTTTAACAAACAACGAAAAAAAAAAAAGAGAAATTCAACCAAGGCTTACTTTATTGAGATTCACAAATGCTCGTAGTGACAACCAAACATTCAATCCTATAAACCGCATAAAAGCGCGCTATCAGCAAATTCGCATGACACATACGTACACACGAGTCGCTCGATCCTACAAATACTTTTTTTTACTTTTTGTACTTAACTACGTTTGCTGTAGCACTCGAAATTACACTATAAAATCTTTTCCACTCACTTACTTCTTTTTCCCCAATTAATAAATGTAATTTTAAGTTATTTTTTCGCTTTTCTTCAACTTAAAAAAAGAAATCACTTTATGAAAATTTCAACGGATGGAAAATGGTGGACTCACAAAGGAACACAATGAAATAAAACATACAACAGAGTTGTAAAAATTTCTTATATTTACTTTCTTGGAGAACACTGAAACTTAGGGTAGATGAAGTATATATTTATTTCATTATTTCAATTGAGTAACATGCTGAAGTTGGTTGTGTACACCCCAAACGACAGCATGAAGACTGATTTAAAATTATTTCTTTCCCAACAAATATTTCAATTTTACAAGTTTAATGCTCGACCTATATACAGTTAAGACCACTTAAACATTTATTCGACCTTCTCTCCAACGAATACTGTTTTATAAACGAAGAGCCGCGTTCATACATACAAAACGCATGTAAGAAAACCACAATAGATAGACTTCATTATAACGGCATTTTTAAAGTCACCTTTTAGTTTTTCCTGCTTAATCTAAGAATTGCAATATTAATTTATGTTCCACCATTTAAAAGTTGTATACTTCTTCCCCAATAATTTAATTTACAATTATTTCCAATATATTTACTATTTCATAATATGCAGGGCACCTTAATTCCCGGTTTTCAATATTGCCCATCAATATTGTGTGGAAAAAAATTTTTACATAGCAATACATACAAATTCGCCATATCTCAAAGCCTACAAACGGTGCTTTCAAAATGTCGGCTTCTTTTTCATTTACTTCTTCAAATAAATGTCAATTTATATTTCTATACTCACCTATATCACACTTCAAAATATACTTTTTAAACTTATTAAAAAACTTCCAGTAAGAAGTCTTGTAATGTCATAAATAATTATATTTTATATAAATTTATTTATATATTTTTGCCTTTACTTTTATATTTCTTGAATTTATTTGGAAATATGTCTTCTTGCACAAATTTGCGCGACAAAAATTCTAATACGTCTATTCGTAAGAACTGAACTAAGAATAATAAACTTAAAACTGAAAATTTACGCTTAAACAGCCTAGAGCGTACACAGCGTTGCCATTGCAAAGTAATACAATAAACATAATGGAGCTGGTATATATTTTATTGCGCTACGTTCAATTTGAAACAAAACAAAATTTATGATATTAATTTTTTTAATTTGTATTTAATTAGTTCTCCGTAAATGAAGTAAAAATGAAAATTAGAAATTCATTTTATTTTCAACGTATTCTTTTTAGGTTGTTTGTTGTGTTTTGCTTGCGTAAGAATTTTCTATAAGAAGGAAATGGAATGATGAACTTAAGCTGATCTTTTGCTTACATAGGGCTAGAAAAAAAAAAATTATGCAAACACACACACATACTCACCACATTCAAGGCCTACTATTGCCGGTAACGGTAAAATCGGAATTTACTTAAATAAGATTTTAATAAAATGGCGGAGATCAAAAAGAGAAATGACAAGAAAAAAGTGAATTAGACAAAGAAGTTGATAATGAAGTATTTTATACTGTATGGTATTTCTGGTGCGTTTTTCTTTAAAATATACAATAACAACAACAATTTAGACTACAGTAATACGGACTCTTGTAACGCGTTTTCATACTATACGATTTCATATTGCCCGTATAACACACGTTTTTCCCTATATAGCGCGGGGAATTATATTTCTGTACTGTGATATTTATAATAAATAATGGTTTGTACAGTTCATAATCAATTTCGCGTACGTTTGCACAATGTGTCAATTATGTTACTATAAAATTAAATTAAATTATTGTATTAAATTTGTATTCCTGTTTTTGGATTGTAAGAATATTGGTTATATGTAGATAATATTGATATAACTACTAAAAAGGATCTGGAGCTAAACAACAATTATGCAAAATGGAAAATAATTTCTACATAACGTGTTAGACGGAGTCATTTTTTCTTATAACGCGGAATTAATCTACCGTGCCGTAGGGGCGATTGCTGTAATTCATGTTCCCTAAGGTAAGTATAAAAAACTAAAATGGAAGCATATTTCACATTATTAAAACTTCTTTCAGTCAGCATTTTATCCCGTTTGGTCCAACGATGGCACAACAAACAAGTATATTGTAAAATGTTATTTCCAAGCTCCAGTTTTTAACTGTCAAAAAGGGGCCAATTAGCCAGCCGTTTGTGTAATATGCTGTTAAGTGTGGCAGACCATAACTCCTGTATTGTGTGCCGTTGATGCATGCGGATAGTTGCGACGCGTTCGAATAATTTCGACTGCCCAACTGATGAATGTGCGGTATTCTGCCGTCTGGTATGAGTTTGTTTGTATTTAATTTGAGTTATTGAATACATGAAATGATTTTTGATGTCACTGACAAGACAGGTAAGCTATCCTCTGGAGTTTTTTACGACGCAATATACAAGTTTTCATGTGAGCGATTTCGATAAAAAAAAGTTTGCCTTATTTGAACGTAACTTGTTTTAGAGAATATTCTTATTTATGGGTTTATCTCTTCATAGTCAGTTTCATGCATTCATGGTTGATAGCAGTAGTGTCCAGGACAAGGTTTCCGAAAATTAGTTAAGGTATGCTATAGTTGTTTAGATTTGAAGGTTATTTACTGTTCGATCAACGGATGGCTTATGTAAATTGCAATGTACTGATTAAGACATTGCGAATTACTGCAACAAAGAAGTACGTGAAGAAGGAATTGTAAGAAATAAAGGTCGTTTATACACACGTCAAACTGTTCTACTACCATGTAATATATTTTAAAAATGCAAACTACCATACCTTCGATTATTAATTATTTTTAGATTGATGGTCTTCAATTATGCCATCAAGAGAAATTATTAAAATTTTTACAGATTAAACTCGTCGGAGTATTGCTACGTTATAAATTTTTGATTATTTTTAATTTAATTTTCCTTGTAGCCGCGGTTTTGGGGTTAGCAAAGGACTACTTTGAAACTTCTGCACCGAACGTTTAGGAGTCTGCATAAATCTTGAAATAACAAGAAACTCATCTTAATGGACTGTTTGTTGATTCAAACAATCTTAGGGATAGTCTGACCAGTTGTTGTTGGAGATCTTAATTGCTGCGTAAAAGCCATGGTTTCTGTAAGCATCACTTGACAGGGATGCATCGTCAACGTAAAATTGACCTTAGCCTAGTCCATGCCTGAATAATAATTTGATTTTTCATTTTCATTTAAATGTAATTTTAATACTTTTTATTTTGATCTGTATTTAGTTTAATTAATCTAAATTTTTATACCTTACTTCACATGTGTTATGATGTAGTATTATGTTTGTGCGATTGTATGTAATACCCAGAGGGACTTAAAATATGCCGAACAATTCATAATCACACTCTGGATCTAGCATATAATTTCCTGAACATACGTCCGCCTTACATTTTAGGTTTATCATGAACAAGACTTAAAAAAAGGGATAAAACCAAATTGCCATATTTTATAATATCGGCGGGGGTTGAATGATTTTTGCCATCGTTGCAGGAATTGTGCTTTATGAGTAATGAACAACAAACCAAGAAAGCAAAGGTATTCCCACCTATAAGTGTTCTTTGATCGACTTGGCCCATTTTCAACACTAATCTGCGTTCAAGAACTTTCAATATTTTTACCAAGTTTGAAATGGAATGTCTTCATTTAAAGATTTTGAAGTCAAATTCATGTATACTTTATGGAGTCTCTGAAACTTCCTTCTGGGAATTATGAAAGTTTTCGACAAAAAAATGAAATCTTGTCGAAGTTCTTTAAATTTGTGAAATAAGGTTTTTTGCGGAAGATAAGGTTAATAGAAAAAGGAAATCCGCCTGAGTGGCCGAGTAGGCAAGAGTCTCGACTAGCAACTCAATAGTCATGGGTTCAAACCTCAAGTGCGGTGGAGTTTTTTAATAAAAAAGCCGATAGCCCTAGATGCTAGTGCTTTAAGACTTTAGTCTTAGAATTTATTCTCTGGCTAAATTTATAATAATAATAATAATAATAGAAAAAGGAAACAATTGTTAAGGTTCAGCAACCTTTTATTCGCACCATTATAACAAGGAGATGAGAATTCTCTTCACATTGTTCAGAAGAATGAAATAATTTACCTAGGAGGTTGGTTGCTCGTGACGGGAATATTCAGTCTCGAAAATTTAGTATAGTAAGTTTTAAATAAAAAAAAAAAATTTAATAGACTCACTGACACGCTTCAACGGTTTCTTTCTCAAATGGTAGGCATGGAATCTTACCTCTTTTCAAACTTATTTTATAAATAAAAGATTTTAGAAATATTTTGGAAAAGTACGTTACTCGCCAGAAAAAGTTGAAATACTTTCTTTTACGCTATGGATAAATAAAATAAATTTTTGCTTTTTTTTACACGTTGTCTATATTTAAATTGTCTTGCGATTTTGATTATATTGTTAAAATACTTATGACAAATTTTCTAATTATTAAACTTATATAATGTTCGCATTACAATTTTTTAAGAACTTTTATTTATAGATTTTTCTTTTACTTTTTTTTTTTTTTGGCAATATAATGAATTTTATTTCTTAATCTTATTGTTTTTAATATTTTTGTTTTTTTTTTTTCTATTTTTCTTTTTATTTAGTAAAATTTTTTTGCTTTTTGGTATTAAAATTAATCAGTTCCATTATTTTGTAATTTAATCGAATTGGTTAAAAATTATCAGTGATGATGAATATTAAATAGAATGTCGTAGGATGGTATATGTATGTAGTGTTCAAGTAGTCATTTGGAAAACCTTACTTCTGTGAAATGGTTGAAAATGATTATTTCGTGTCAATTATTACTAAATGATATTGAATTGAAATGAATATTATTTTTATTTAAATTAATAATATATTTATTTATAAAAATTTTTATCAAAAAATTTCGTATATTATTTAATTTTTATTTAAATTAGAATGATAAGCGATGGAGAGAATCTTTGATTATTCTTCACATTTCGTCATAAGTCGTCTTTGAACTTGTAACGCACGTAGTATCAACTAATTTGATGACATTTAACTTAAGATATATATGTGTATGTATATGGCATACGGATTTGAGAAAATTAATTCAGTTGCCCTCTACACCCTCCAGCAAAGCCCTAGGACGTAAGGTCTTATACACGATTTATGTTATAATTTATCAAACGATTTCGATGTTTTTTAAATCTTGCCATAGGAACAGGTATACGTCCACACACCATGAAGAGCTTCGTTAGCTTCATGGCTACGTGGTCAGAATTAGCAGAGAATATAAAGCGGCTGCAGACTGTCGTTTTTTGACATCAGAAAATCCTATGAGAACTAAATGTTTTGATTAAGCATAATGGTCTGGGTCGCTTGAAGTCTGTCCATGTGTGTTTTAAAACTGATTAAAAAATGGGTTTTCCTCCTATTTGTTATTTGTCTGTGCTTTCGTTTCTTTATTCAATCATCCGTTTGTTACCTCTGTCATAGAAATTAAGATAGACAGTTGAAATTTTGAACATTTGTTGGTCCTTGATATTCATGACTCAAATTTGAAAATGTCCAGGAATCAAATGTATGCAGTACGCAAGGCCATCTGTCGCTTGCCTTCTTAATTAAGGCAATTTGATATTTGTCTAAAGTGCTTGGTATCCCCTTTTAGCCACTAATTGAATGTTTGGGTCACCTTTCTTGTAAGCGTTTTCTTTTCTCCCTCTCTCTCTCTCTCTCTCTCTCTCTTTCTCTCTTTTTCTTTCTCTCCCTCTGCTTTTTTGTCTATATGTGTTTAGTTAAATTATTTAAAGTTCTATATGAATTTTAAATATTTTTAATGACTTTTATATAATTAAAGTTTAGCAAAATATTATTTATTTTATTTTAAATTTAAATTATTTTAATTGTCAAATAGAAACCAATATGGTTTTGTTATAAAAATTACTTCATTTTATATATTTTGCTAATTTTTTTAGTAACTTATTAAAAAAGTAATATATCGACCAGAAAATTTTAATTTAGTTAAAGTTAATTTCTTATTGATGGAGTGGTGTTTGTTAAACAGTAAAGAGCAACATTTAGCAGTGAACAGCTTATTATTATAAAATTGAACTTTCATATACATTAAGTTACTTTTTGAAACTATGTCAGGTTTCTTAAGTATAGAAAAGTCCCCAGTAAGCTTAGTTTAGCTTTATTTATGTATTTACTTAGCCATCGACATGTGATTGGATTCTAGATTTTCCCACTCAGAAATAAGTATTAAGTATAGCAATGTTCGCCATACTGTTTGTCCGGTCCGTCAATCCTTGGAACATTTAAGGCAGTAAAAATTGAGATAGAAAAGCAAAATTTGAAAAAAAGGCTTGATAATCTTACTACCAATTTTCCCAATTAGAAAAAACGTGAAATTTACATATATCTGATTTGAAATTTTCTACAGCATCCATATGAAAGTTAAAAATGCGTATGAGCGGTCAACTGTCATCTTCATACTTAATGGTATATTTTCCAAATCTTATGTGAGACAACAACATGGTATCAAAGATCCGTCCAAAGGCAAATATAATTTTTTTTCGTTATATACATATTTCTTAATATATATATTTTATGTTTTATTAATTTTTTTCTCTTGCTCTTTACTGTGCGGTTATTATATATCTTAAATTTAAATTACTAATATTATTTATAGTAAGTTGTTAGTCGCTTAACATTTAATTTTAATATTAAATAACTAAAATTTTTCTCTAATTTTTTTTTTTTTTTTTGTAGTCTTATGAAAATTACTACACTTTGCACTCAAAGAAAATTTTAATTCAAAATAATTATTTTTTTTAATGCGAAACTTAATTTATACATTTAACAAAAATACCGAGAAATTAATAATTTAAAAATAATACTTTGGACACATAATATAATATATTTCACTTTTTTTTTTTTTTTATTTTACAATTTTAACATGACACAACGACCGAAAAACTAAAATTAATAAATATTTTATTACACAAATAAATTTTGTTATATATTAAAAAAAAAAAAAAATATGTATATATGTAAAAACGATATTCAAAACATTCAATTTTAATTCAAATAATAAATAAACGGTTTTTTATATTTGCGTAGAGAAAAATAGATCGACTTTTCTTAAGCTTACTATATGATATTCCTGTAGAGAGGAAAGCACAGAATTAATTGCTGGATAACTAAAAGCTCTGTTTCTCTTTCCCGTCTTTCTTTGTAGTGTTTTTCTTTTTTTCTTTTTTTTTGTTAATCTTTCTGATTTCATATTCGGCATATTACTTTTCATTATCTATTGTTGGGTTTAGTCTATGACGCTTTAGCAAACTGTATTACCGAGTTCTGGCGCATCATTTTTTGGCTGATATCTGCTTTGATGCTATCGTTTTCATTAGTTTTCGTTATTGTTCTTGGAGTTGTCTCATTTTTTACATTCTGTAAATCGCTCATGTAAAGTTTACGTTTTCTTAACGGTAAAGTCATAACATCTCGATCAGCCAGCATCATTAGTGAATCACTTTCGGGTGACGATGAACGTTCAGGAGATTCGGTCGAAGCACGTAAAGGGGCTATTGCTGCCTCGACTTGACGTAAAATGATATCGTTATTGTGTAGAGAAGATCTAATAAAATTCAAAGTAATCATCATTAGAATTATTATGTGCTTGGCAAAGAGCATTCATATTCTATACTTACTCGAATTTCGGTACAGGAGCGTAACCTTTTGTCAATGAGTGCCTCGTTAAATCATGTTTTTTATAATGTCCAATCACTTGGTTAGTAGCCTTATCTTCAGTTCCGCTGATGTCATTCAAAAGTGCAGCAGTTGTTGTTACGGCGGGTGTGATCGAAATTTGTTCTTGTATGGAATCATCGTAGCATTTCTGTTGCGAGCGATGTAATTGCATGATTTGTATGGCAGCTTGTTGTATGTCATCTTCGCGCCGGCTAGCGATGCTGGCTGCCTCTAATAAAGCCGGATTTATAGTAGGCGGTTCCAAGAGCGTATTGGTATTAACGTTAGACGAATCTAATTGTTGTAGCGGCGTTGCTGTATTCAAGTAATGATATTGCATGCTACCACTGACCGATGGTGGCGTTGAAGCTCGTTGTTGATAATGATGATAATTTAGTAGAGTGCGTTGCGGTTCTATTGAGTGAACGGTTTGCGGCGTTATACTTAAATCTGTAGGCATTTCGTCAATTACTGGACTATGATAAACGTTTGGTGATTTTAATTCGATTAGAGTAGTTGTGGTGTTATGGGATGTCAATTGACGTCCATAGGGGTGAGTGATCATCCCACTTTCGCGGCTGTAAGGTTCGTTTTCTATGGTTATAGACATGGTAGGTGACGCAGCCGAAAATGCAGGAGAGCCAGCCGAATGTCTGGATGTAGAAGCATAAGTTGGACTGGGAGACATTGAAATATTTGGAGAGTCCGGAGAAGGAGGACTTAGTGAACCTGAGAAACTATTGTTTTTCGTTAAAGTCTTTTTGGCCTTTGTTGTTTTTGTAGATAAACCACTAGAAGATGGTGATTGTGGAGAATTGGGAGCTGAATTACTTTCTATCCCCGATGAAGTCGAAGATGAAGATGACGTTACCGCAGCTTTCACTGTGGAATTGCTACTATTAACCACATTTTCGTCTTCATCATCCGGCATCTCGTGGGCATGACCCTTAATGTGAGCTTCCATTTCTTTTTTACTTTTGAAAGTCTCGTCGCATATTGTGCATTTATAGCATTTCGATCCGTAATGCTGGACACGATGCAATTTTAATACGTGATTATAACCGAAATCACGGAAACAGATATCGCAGTGATATGGTTTCTCGCCAGTGTGTGTACGTGAATGTACTTTCAATTGTTTGGAACATGTGAAACCCTTTCCGCAACCCTCGACAGGACATTTATAAGGTTTTTCCCCGGTATGGGTGCGCATGTGTATAACCAATTGACCCGATTGTATGAAAGTTTTTTCGCATACCGAGCACTTGTGCGGTCGTTCACCCGTATGAATACGCATATGACGATGTAGTTTACCCGAATGTTCAAACGCTCGCCCACATACGTCGCATTTGTAAGGACGTTCTTTGGTGTGAATGCGGCGATGAACTTGTAAATTTTCCTTGACACTAAACAGTTTATGACAGAATTCGCATTCAAATGGCCTTTCACCGGTATGAGTCCGATAATGACGTATCTATTGAAAAGGAAAATAAACGAATTAGCTTTTGAGATATAAGAAAATAGTTTTCAGCTTACCAGCCTAGCAGGTACGGCGAATGTTTTCTGACAGACATTGCACTGATATGGATCGCCGCCTGTAACCGCAGCGTTTGGATTAGGTTTGATGTGAGGTTGTTTTGGTATTCCCACTGGAACTCCCGCTTCGTTTAGCTCGACCATTGTGCAAGAACTGCTAATGGCATTGGTTCCGCTTGTTATACTCAATTCACTGTTTTTGTTATGTGATTTTGTATGTGAAGTGTGCGCCGACTTGCTACCGAATATCATGCCGCATTGTTCGCATTTAAATTGAGGTTTATTGCCCGAAATTTTCCGAACAGTAGTTGTATTGGCTGAAAGAGGGGGAGACGAACTGTTGGCATTTACTTTATGGGGCAGTTGGTATTGCTGTTGAACTGGTTGACTGGTCGCGTATACAGTTATATCGGGCGGTAAGAGTTCAGTTTTTATATTGAAATAATGTTGCTGTTGATAGGGATCATTTGTAGTTACTGTAGTTGCTGCATTTACGTTACTAATACTTGTACTAGGTGATGATGATAATGGCAATTGTACCGCATGCTGTGGTCGTTGCATATTTAGATTTCCATCATTTATGCTATAATTATGCGCAGGTGCAATATGGTGCTGGGACTGTTGATGCAGTTGTTGGTGCTGATGTTGTGAGATAGGATGTAATTGCTGCAATTGATCGTTGGGATGCCTAAAATTTGCACACAATTGCGCTTGACTAGGATGCTCAGATTTAATAATCAAAGGAGTCGACTGATAATAAACCATTGTCTTTTTTGAGGAAACTGTAAATGGAAAGTGAACAACAGAGAAGACAAAAAAATTAGAAAAGAATTTTTAACGTACTCTGTTTCGTTAAGGAGTGCCTACTCCATTACGTAAAGTTAAGCATTTTTCTAAGTATTAGTTTATGTATATATTCCAGCTTTGCCCAGCTTTTCATCCTATTTGACTAAAACATATCCCTTCACTATAGCATCTCTCATTTCACATCACAAGCTAAAGCTTTCCTTTTTTTTATTAATAAGGTCCGTTGAACGTGATATCTTCACCGATATCAATGGTACGCAAAGTACAATTTTCTCATTCCTTAGGAATGGAAACTGTAGGTATTCTTAGTCAACAACATGATATTGTAGACTTATGTAGTCATCCTCTTCCATATTCTTCATTGGGAAATATATTTGAAATGATCATGAGGAAAAATGCAAGTTTCTATATTATACCGAATACCGAAAGTTATCAGCGCGTTAATGACATCATTCTCTTCCCATCCATCCTTAGGATGTTCAAATGTATTCCCATTAGAAAGTATTGTAAATCTTTTTTAAAATTCATTCCTTTCCTAGCATAAACTTCAATAGTTTCTCTTTCAAAGATATAAACTGTTCGCTTCTTTGCATTTAATTATTCCTGTTCACTTTATGCGTCCCATGGTCGAATATGTGTATTGTACGTGGATTTTGTCACTTTAAGTTCCTTTGGCGCAGTGTTTTGTACTTCTAAAGCTTTTTTTACTTTTCATACTTTCTTTCTTTGCCTGTTTTTATAATATAGACTAACCACTCAGGGGATGCTCTCTACTCATCTAACACTGTGAAAAAAGTGGAAAAGGAGACAGACAGAGGAGCGGACAATGACCACTGCCTAGCTGGGAGAGATGTGCCCAATCGGCAAATGTTGTCACTTAACCAACTGAATACACCCTATAGCTACGAGCAAAGTAAGTTCTATTGTACTTAAGTTTTAAACCGTCTAACATGGAGTTTGCAGCGGTGCGATTCTTAACCACTCGGATACTTTTGATGGCTTGCGTTTTTTTTTTTTTTTTGAATGGATTGGTTAAAATATTGACATGCCCAAGGAGCCGCTATTCGCAAATTTTTACAAGAGCTTTGAAGAGCGAGCTGAAGATATGAAAAAACGCCTTCGTAACGTTCTGCCTCGTCTTTTAGATACAAGACATGCAGCTGGACAACTGATTTCGAAAGAGCTATAAAATGACCACTCTGCTGACGGCGTTTTATTGTCCCTGAAGGCATAAATGAAAGTTTGCTAAAAGAGTTGTAGCCCAATTAGCCTTCGAAAATTGTTTGAAGCGCTAAACTCAGTAGTGGCTTAGCTCCATTGTAAGTGGTGGGTGCTTGCAATAGATTGTTTTACATCAATATATTTTTCTTTAGGACAAACGTCCAATTCTATTTCGCCAGATTAGAATATCGCCTGTTTTAAAAATTGTGAAAGACCCACAAAGTGAAATCATAAGCTGAAATCTAGGTCTATGAAGTTTGTCAATTTTAGTAGTGAGCATAGACCGCTTATGAAACTAGTCAGTAAAATAAGAAAACTTTTGCCAGAACTCAAAATTCATAATTCTCTTGTTAATAGCCTGCAGTCTACGGGAACTAGTATTCTAATATTAGATACAAATATTCCTAAGAGATCCCGCCCTAGGCATTGCTATAAAAAAGACCTTTTTTACTACCTAAGATTGTTGATTACCAATAGGAAGAAAATCTTATTAGTTGTTTACTGTAGTTAAATAATTCCATTAGCATAGAAATATTAAACCTATGCTAAAACAAACGCGGATAACTTCTTCACAAACGCCAGGGTTAGGGTTGGCTCTTCTTCTTAAAAATGAAAAATATCATTAATTACGGAAAATTTGGTTTTTCTAGAATAAGAAAATATTCTGTGAGGGTTGCGTGAGTTGTTTTTTTTTTCCTCTATGATAAAACATAAGGGTAGATTATGGCTCCCCCGTTGCTCTGGGGAAAGCTTTCTTCTGATATGAAATGAAATATGTCGATAGCAAAACTCGAACAAAGTTAAGGTGTGTATTTGCTAATGCCCTCACTGACTCAATAAATGCGTGTGGTGGCAGTTGTTATAGCATTTAACATTGGCGATAAAGAAGTTGGGGGCAAAAAGCTGTTTCTTAATGGCCGGCATTTTGTTTTTATTGGTTTTTCTTTATAAACACAAATTTTTTCCCATTTTTTTTCTTTTTTTTTTTTTTTGAAGAAAAATGGCGGAAAGTAAAAAAGTGAAATTTAAAGAAAGTTTTTTTAATTATTTAAATTAAAAGATTTTCTTTTTTTTTGATTTCCTTCTTAAAGACTTTTCTTGCTAAACATTGAACTGAAATGATTAGAAATGAAATCATGCTTTATTTACCCACCTTTGCCATTTTCTTTACATAAAATTTTTATATTTTTTGCTTCGTTTCCTTTGATTTGTTGTAATTCAACCAAATCAGTGCCAGATTTCTTTAAAACATCCTTTAACCATATCTGTTCCTCTGTCCATGATTTTGACATTTTATAATTTCGGAAAATTTTGTTTTCAATTTATTATTTATTTTGTATTGTCATAAATATTGCTTGAAAGGATTTATATGATAATTGTTATTGGGTAAATCAGTCTTTTAGTTGTTTTATTATAATAATTTTCTATTTTACATTTCTTTTTTTACAAAAATTTGTTATTTAAATAGGTTTTCTAAAATTTTCATAAAAAATTTTTTTTTATTTAAATTTTCTAACATTTTACATTACATTGAAAAAAATAAATCAAGAATTCGGAAATTTTTGTGTCTCCACTTTTCGTTCGAATTGAACAACCACCGCCTAAGGTAAAGATGTAAGAAACGCAATATTTCCTTAACCAGGAAAGGAAATTATGTTAACACACTAACTGATTTTATATTCTTGTTAGTCTTTTAAGGTCTTTTTTAGGCCGACATCCACTAATGATCGTAAAAGAGTTTTAATTTTTTGTCTCTTCTTTGGATTTATTTGAAATTTTTCACTATTTAGAGGGGATTTATCATTGTTACTATTATTTAATTATTTTTTATACCCTGCACTTGCTTGCACTATAAGAATAGGTTAAGTTTGTGCGGATGTATGAAACACCTAGGAGAACCAGAAGGAGTTGAGCTAGTCCCATCGATAGATTCAGAAAGTGATTCTAAATCAATATAAGCTTCTCCATCTGTATATTCACCTATCCGTTTGTCTATTTTGTTGTGTTGTGTGCAACTTATAATCTACAATTTTTGAGATATTTTGGTCAAATTTTGTGCAGTAAAGTGCTTTGGCCCAATGATGAACGCTATTGAAATTGGTTCAGATCGGATCACTTTTTCGACCATCTGCCACATAAAGCCTTTACTTTAAAAGGTTGGATAACTGTGGGATAGTGTAGAATATTTAATGGTGGACCGTGTACGACTATTTTTTATTCATATGTAGAGAGTTCAGCTACAATATAGATTTGGTCGAATTTATAGCCAGATTAACATCGATTTTCAATTATCACGGGAAGTTTTCTAATCAACTCCCAGCGAGGGTCTAAAATTTTTCGGATTTGAAAACTTTCAACAAGCGGGGAAAAAGGCAAGGCTTAAATAGAATTTTATGATAATCCAAACTACATATATACACTTTTTCAAGTTTCTAATGCTAATAACTTGATAACATAAATGAAAAATTTATGCTCCGGCGGTGGGTTGATGCAAAAATCGTAAAAAAAATAAAAAAAAAGTTTTTTTTTTTTATATAATATATGATATCATATATCATATTTATGAATATATAATATACATCTACATCATATATACGCATATATATATATGCATATATGTATATATATATTTATTTATTTATTTTTTTTTTCAAAATAATTTTTTTAAGTATAAATATGTTAACACTTAAACTTCATTGCACTTTGTCCATTGTGTAAATTTGATTTTTTTATTTTCATTTGAAACAAAAAAAAAAAAAACCATCCACTTAAAACAAAATTTTCTTTTTCTGTATATCAAAATTTGGTGTTCTATAAACGCTTGCGCGCGTTTTAAACGGCTTGTATGCCGCGTACGTATATCGCCCGTTCCCTTTACTAACAACTGCAGTAAGCGGTGGTATTTTCAAGACTGGTGGGTGAGTGTAGGGAAAGTCTTCATCTAACCACCACACGATTAGAGATTCTAAACGCACACCCAACCCCAAACTTTCAGTTTCACTCAACACAAAAATTTTACTTTCATATTAGGAAAAATCTCTCACATAAAATAAAAATTGAAAAGAAAATTCCTTATCAAAATATGAGTGAAATGCTAGAAAAGATACGCATTTAAAAAAAAACAACCACGAATTCGATATTTAAGAATAATTCACATATTAAATGAAGACTAATTAATGATATAAATTAAATTAAATTCTAAAGTTGTGCGACAAACTTAGTGAAATTCTGCTTTAGAACGCGCTTTTGCTTTCATGAAATCTTAATTCATATTAGTTTTACAAAGTTGACACGGCGATACCTATGTATTTGACATTATTGTGGTTGCACACGTAAACCATATCATAAAAATCCTATACAATAGAAATATTTTAGAAAATTCCCTAGAGAAAATATGGTTACACAAAGCGGCTTGAAAAGAAAATATTTCTTAGTTTCAGGAGTGTTTTTCAAAGCGGTTGTGTACTTTAGTTAAATAATGAAAAATGATAGAAGAAAAGAGCAGTTTAAATGCTGCAGTTACCAATTGAAACGATAACCTTAACCTGACTTTTCTTAAATAGTTATTAATATTCACGCACAATTTGCTCAGCTAATTTAAAAGTTTGAGTTGCAAGAATTTCTCATAGATCAGTTCAAAGCTTACGTAAATTAATGCATACAAAAATAAAAGCAAAATTTTGATATATATATATACATATATATATATGTATCGTAATCTTTTTGTTCGTAACTATCTCAACTTATTAAAAGA